TTTTTGATTGTTTATTACATAATGCACCAAATTATTACACCACCACATTTTGTAATAATTGCCGCAAAATGAAATAACATTACATAATGCGTTGAAGACTTTTATTACATTTTGTGTAAATTATTACATAATGCGGTTTTAGCGCAAGTTTATTATATTTTGAAGCCTGATTTTATTACTTTATTACATAATGTGTTGTTATTACAAAATGAGGTCTTACACACGCCAAAATGAGCTCAACAGCTGTGAGTGAACACGCGTTCACAGTTGGAAAAAGAAGCAAAAGAAACAGTTAAAACAGCAAAGACCACCATAATTCAGTGGTGTTGGAGTGGTTCAGGTATCAAAGGTCTGTTAAACTTCAGACTTCCAGTCTGCTGTAAAATGGGCAGGAGTCTGGTGCCAACTCGCAGCGGGAACGCATCGAATTTGTTTCACAGTCTGATAAAGTTCCACTTGACAGAACATCCTGAGTGCATGAAAATGAATCTCCCTAAAAGTTTAAGCCCTCTTCCTAAAACATCAGCATCTCCCCATCAGCAGCTTTGTCAAGCAACGTGAAGTCCATGCTGCAATACGCAGGTCTATGGCAGGCCTTCATGACATAAAATCAGCTTCACCACACTTAGATTTCAGATTTCTGAAGTTGMTTTATGACTAGACACATTAGTTAATAAGATATCTAATCAAAAAAGTGAGAGAGTGAATGGTTGGTTTGTCTTGACGTGTGGTGAGGTCAGGGTTAGGCTATAAAATTACCAGTAAATGAATGGAAGTCAATCCACGGTCCCCGCAGGGATTCAAAAACAAACCTGTGTGTGTGTGTTGTAGGTGATAGGTGCAGCTCTGTCCCTCCTAACTCCAGAGAAAGCAAACCTGATGCTGTTGTCACCAGAACACGAGGGCCGATGCTCCCTCAGGGAAAAGTGGTTCTGCACTCAGTACAGTGTGGAGGGTAGGTTTTTGTTTTTTCATTATCATTTCAGTTTATTCTGTCCAGGAGTTAAATCGTGTGTAAGTAAGTGTTTAAACTCTTTACAGACATTGACCAGAAGTGGATGGAGCAGTGGACAGGAAACATGGAGCTGAGCAGTGACCTCCACCTTCCTGCAGAGAACAAATTCATCGGTGAGTGAAAACACGTTGCTTGTTTGGCCTGCAGTCAGTCAGACAGTTGTGAACAAGACTTGTTGCAGCACTTGATGCCTTTGGCCTTCATACGTCTATRCAACAAGTCCAGTCATCAGAAAGTTCAGTCTGATCCCGGTGTTGTCGTTTTCATCGGGCAGTTATTAAAGCTGTTATAATTCAAGAGAAATGGCTTCGATTTTATCACTAAAAAAGTCTTTTTAAAGTGCCTGTGACATGCATATCCTTCAAATACAAAAAGTCAAATAAAACATCTTTATATTTAAGAAATTTAGCGTAAAACACACGATTTTACCCATTTTGTCACATAACTGGCATATTTTCTTCTTAAAGTGTATCTTACC